GTGTCCATCAATAGATTATTGGATAAAGATTTGATACAGCCCTAACCATTTGGCTCAATAGTTAGAGCCTCGTCCCAAGGACTGACAGGTCGAAGGTTTGATTCCAATCAAAGGCACATACCTTGATTGCAGGCTCAATCCTCTCTCTCACATCCATGTTTTCTCTCTGTCTCTCCCCCTCCCTTTCACTCTCTCTAAAAATCAATTTAAAAAAATCCTTGGGTGAGGATTAAAAAAAAAAAAAAGATGTGGCACATATATGCAACAGAACATTACTCGGCCATGAAAAAAGAATGAAATCTTACCATTTGCAACAGTATAGATGGAGCTAGAGGGTATTGTGCTAAGTGAAATAAGCCAGTGAGAGAAAAACAAATACCACATGATTTCACTTACATGTGGAATCTAAAAAACAGTAAATGAACAAACAAAACAGAAACAAACTCATAGAAACAGAGAATAAACTGATGGTTGCCAGATGGGAGGAGGGTTGTGGGACTGGGTGAAAAAAAGAGGAGGGATTAAAAAGTACAAATTGGCAGTTACAAAATAGTCATGGGGATGTAAAGTACAGCATAGCTGATACTGTCAAAAATCTATATATATAAAAGCGTAAGCATCCATTCAACCGGTAGCTATGACACACACTGACCACCAGGGGTCAGACTCTCTGACCGATAGGTTAGGTTGCTGGCCGTGGGTTAGCTTGCTGCTGGGGCCCTGTTGCCCCGAATCTGGTTCACCCGCACGCTGGACCCAGAGAGGAGGGAGGAAGGAGCCCGATTCCTCGCGGAATCGGCCATGGGCTAGCTTGCTGCGATATTAAAATATTTCTTCTAATTAATTTCCTTTAGATGTGCATGAATCCATGCACTGGGCCACTAGTATTTTAATAATTATGTATGGTGTCAGGTGGGTATTAGACGAATGGGGGGATCACTTTGTAAGTTACATAAATGTCTAACCACTATGCTGAAACTAATATATTGAATGTCAACTGCAATTGAAAAGATATTTAAGTATTTCATGAGGATCAAAGACCTAATTATAGGAGCTAAAACTATACAAATCTTAGAAAAAATCATACCGGTAGGTGTAGATCTTTGTGACCTTGAATTAGACTGTGGTTTCTTAGATACAACACCAACAATACAAAGGAGAAAAGATAAATTGGATCTTACCAAAATTAAAAATGTTTGTGTTTGGAAATACACTACCAGAAAGTAAAAGGACAACAAACAGAATAGGAGAAAACAGATACAAATCATATATCTGTTAAGAGTCTAGTATCTAGACTATATAAAGGACTCTCACAACTCAATAATAGAAATATAAGTAACCCAGTTACAAAATGAGCAAAGTAATCGAAAGATATATAAATGACCAATAAGCACATGAAGTGATGTGCAACATTATTAGTCATTAGGGAAATGTAAATTAAAACCACTGCCCTAGCTGGTTTGCTTAGTAAATAGAGTGTCAAACCTTGATCATCGATTCCGGTCAAGGGCGTGTACCTCCGTTGTAGGCTCCATCCCTAGCACTGGCCTTGGTCGGGGCACTGCTTCTCTCTCTCTCTCTCTCTGTGTCTCTCACCCTCCCTTCCACTCTCTCTAAAAATCAATCGGAAAATGTCCTCGGGTGAGGATTAACAAATATAAATAAATAAATAAATAAATAAATAAAGACATTAAATGCCAGGCTAGCCCTGGTAGAGGGGTGAGGAGTCTTCCAAACTGGCTCAAATAAAGAACTAAAAATTCAACAAAACAAGCAACTCAATAAAAAATGGGGGAAATTAAAAAGAAAAAAACACACTAAGATACCATTTCACATCCACTTGAATGGCTAAAATCAGAAAGATGGACAATAAAGTGTTGGTGTGAGGATGTAGAGAAATTGGAACCTTCTAACATTGCTAGTAGTATCGTAAAATGATGCAGATACTTTGAGAAGCAGTTTGGCAGTTTCTCAAAAAGTTAAACATAAACTTACCATATGACTCAGCAATTCCATTCTTCAGTATATACCATGAGAATTGAAAACAATGTTTATATAAGAACTTATACATGGACGTTCAAAGCAACATTATTCAGAACAGCCCAAAAGTGGGAACAATCCAAATGTCCATCAACTGAGACCCAAAATTCATGCACTTGGAGGAGGGGGGGGTACCTCAGCCAGACCTGTGCCCCCTTACAGTCTGGGACCCCTTGGCGGACATCCCTCTCGAAATCAGGGATCCCTCACTCCTTACAGCTCAGCTCGCTGCTCCTTAGCACTGCTGCAGGCTGTGCCATCCCTGAGGCCGGTTCTGGCTGAGAGGCTGCTCCCCCTGTGGGAGTGCACTGACCATCAGGGGGCAGCTCCTGCGTTGAGCGTCTGCCCCTGGTGGTCAGTGCGCATCATAGTGACCAGTTGTTCCGCCATAAAGGTCGCTTAGGCTTTTATTATATAGATATCTATAACAGACAAATCCACAGAAATAGAAAGTAGACTTGTGGTTGTTAGGAATTGGTGGGGAGTAAATGGAGAGTGACTACTTGTGAGTATCTTCTTTTGGGAGAGATATTCTGGAATTAGATATTGATTATAGTTTCATAACTTTGTGAATATACTAAAAATCAATGAATGATCCACTTTTAAAAGGTGCATTTTATGTTATGTAAATTATATCTCAATTTAAAAAATATAGCTGGAACAATGGAGGTACCTTTTACTAAGATAGGGAAGACTAGGGAACTGTCACATATGGAAGAGAGAGGAAGAATTTGTTTGGAAATAGTAAGTTGGAAATACTGACTAGACATCCAAGCGGATTTATTAAGTAGGCAGTTGGAGATATTAGTCTGAAGTTTAGGGGACAGATATGGATTGGAGATATAAATTTGGAAAGAAATAATTAATACCTATAAAACAGAATGCTGCCTGGAGCAAAGTAGGACCTATGAACATTAGCTATTATATTTATTTTGTATGTGTAATAGCTATTATTCTAACACAACTGTAGAATTCCTTCCTCTATGATTTGTAATGCTACCTCTGTTATATACAAATCTCTCATTTAGACTGAGGGTCTTTTTCTATAATTGCATTCTTTTTAGGAGTAATTGTTTTATGGGAGAGTAGATTGGAAGCTAAGAGTCCTCTCAACTATTCTCAGTTCACTTTAAAAGAACATAAATGATTCTATGCTTCTGTGTCACCTTTGCTACCTAGAGAGAAATCACCTGGATTCTTTCTACCTTTCAGAGGGTGCTATGAGGATAGTTGAGAGGACTTCCTAGGCAGGAAGTTCAGAAAGCTGAATACTACAAAGCTGCAGAAAGGAAAAGAGATTCAATCCAGTGGTTCTCAACCTCCTGGCCCTTTAAATACAGTTCCTCATGTTGTGACCCAACCATAAAATTATTTTCGTTGCTACTTCATAACTGTAATGTTGCTACTGTTATGAATCGTAATGTAAATATCTGATATGCAGGATGGTCTTAGGCGACCCCTGTGAAAGGGTTGTTTGACTGTCAAAGGGGTCGCGACCCACAGGTTGAGAACCGCTGCATAGGCAATATTTTGAGTCAACTCTCCTTATAATTATAAATATTTAAAAAGTTTTATTTTAAGTTGTGGAAAAAAATACACAACAACATAAAAATTATCATCTTGGTAACCATATGAGAAAATTTTAATACAGTCTTTGCCTTTGATGTCTCACCCAAAATCTCCCCAAGGCTGTCTCCTCATGGTTCAATTCCAACTCCTGGTTCAAACATTACTTCAAAGAGGCCTTCTCTCAACACCAGGAGTAAAGTTGTTTCCCCACTCCTGGTCTCTTTCTGTCTCATTACCCTGAATCACTCTCCACTAACTAAAATATTTGTATTCTTTTAATATATGTTTTTATTGATTTTTTTTTTGAGAGAGAGGGAGGGGGGTAGAGAGAAACATTGATTGGTTGCTTCCATGCATCCCAACAGGGGATCGATCGAACCTGTGTGTATGTGACCCTTCAGTCCACAAGAGGATGCTCCAACCAACTGAGCCACACCAGGGAGGGCTTACCTCTTTGTGTTTATTGGCTTATTAACTGTCTCCTCCTCCCACTAAAATATAAAACATACCAGAGCAGGAACCTGGTCTGTCAGGCTCTTCTCCCCATGCCTAGAACATACGTCCTGTTATGTATTTGTTATACTTGCTGAGTAATAAACATAGTGCTTTTCAATTCTCAAACAGTTTCAAATATATTATCTCATTTGATCATTACAACTCTGAGTAAAATGGGATTGCTAACTCAATTGTAAAGGAACTCAGAGATGCACCTCAGCCGAAGGCAGAGGGCTAAATGAGATCGGATCGCTGTGCCGGGGCTTGCTTTTTTCAATATCTTCACTCCAGTTCTAGGGCTAAGGGTATTTTAAACTTCCTTGCCAGTAAGGAAATGAGGACCCTGGAGGATAGTGGGAACAACATGCACATGTTTTAAAAGTTGCCAGTTCCTGCAGTTGAACCCTTCCCAGAATGCAATCCCCCCCCCCCCCCCCACACACACACACAGCAGATTATGGCCACAGCGACGCTACTCTACGTGCAAAGAAGAAAATGCAACTACTCGGCTGTTTGGAACCCCGAATCTCTTGTGTACCTGCCTCAGGTTTTTCCCCCACCTTTTTCTTTTTAACAGCTTTATTCAGGTATAATCTTGTCTCGGTTTTTAAAATGCGTTCCTTTGGAATAATCTCATCCCCTAGAAAAATTCACTTCACTTTTTGGGTCTCCACTACTCCAGGCACCTGTAAGGATTCCTTTTTCTTTTCCTTTCCCCCAACGTTTCGCAACGGGACACGTGTGATCTGTGTGTCCCGAACTCGTTCAGCCTCGCTCCCCAGACCTGCCCACTAAAAGCCTGGCCCCTACATCTTCCCGGAGCCCCGCCCCTCGGCCCCTTTCCAATTCAGGCCCTTCGGATCTCGCCCTTCCTCCACCCCCCCACCCCCCCCATATCTCGCGAGAGATGAGCGCGCCTGGCCGGACGAGAGGAAAGTATCAGCTCCGCTGAGGGGGGGAAGAAGGAGCTGGAGACAGATTGTGGGACCGAGCACGGGCGGGCGGGAGGCGACGGAGCTGCCAGCGGGTGAGTCCTGTTAACATTAACTAGCCCATGATGGGACGAGAGTCTCTCCTTCAACCCTGACCAGTCCCAGTCTCCCAGGCCGGGGTCTCCCCTCCTAGGTGTGTTGGACGGGGGCGCTGAGGCGGTGGCCGGGCCCTGTCTGAGGAAGAGGGTGGGGCATGGGCTAACGCTGGCCAATAAGAGAGAAGGAAGTAAGATTGGCGGCGATAAGCACTAATGGGAGATCGTCTTTACCTTGCGGAGTGCCGCCCCTCTTTCCCTCCTCCCGCCTCCTTCCTTTGGGGGGGAAGGCGGGGCCAGAGGCCTGAAGTGTGGGGAGAACTTGGGGGTAAGTAGCCCCGGGGGGCACAGGGCGTGGCAAGAAGAGGGGAGTTGAATCCTGAGGGATTGGAAGTGTAGTAGTGTAGCCTACGGGAAGGATCCTGGGATTGGGGTGGAATGGGAGAAAGGGGAGGGGTGCTAAGCTGGCTTCTGAAAGAGTGGGGTTAGGGACTTGGCATTGGAAGAAGCTGGAGGTAATAGGCAGAAGGTAGGGATGAGTAGGTGAAAACATGGCAGTAAGTGAGCCTGGAAAGATAGGTAGGGTTTAGTCATTGGAAATGAGAAGCATGGCATTTCGATTGAATTATAAAGAAGAATATCAGGGACATGGTATCAGGAAAAGTATAGATTTGGAAAAAATTAAGTGAATGAGTTTAGGACGACTTACATAGTGGTGGGCTTGGTAGCCAAAAGACTGCACTTTGAGAAGGGTATGGGGGACTCCAGAGGTGAAAGGGAGGTGTTTGGAAAGGAGACGGCTGATGAATGTAGGTATCAGAATAGACTTGGGTACTGTGTTAGGGCTTTTGGTGGGTATGACATCCAGTCTGGTGATCAGCCTGCAAGAATGCTGGATAGGGGTTGAGAAGGATAAGAAAAAAAGAACACTTTCATCACTTCTACTCTGATTTCCTTTTCCCCTCTCTAACTGTTCCCACATTTAATCTCTTCCTAACTCGGGGGTAGGGGCCTGGGACGGAAGCAGTCCTAGTCGGAGTCCCAGAAGGAGTTATCTGTTGCTCGAATTGCTTGTTTATGTTCTCGGACGAGGGTGTTTACTACCCAGAGCACCTCCTACCCCAATTCCCATGTTGCTACTTTCCTAACTTTAAAAGTTTGTTTTCTGCTTAGTGGGTGTTTTAGTATTTCTGAAGGTTGTGTCATAAGTGAAGGTTTGTGGGAGTGTGCACAGTTTTCTCCGCAAGCCCACTTGATCCCTATGTTTAAAAACTTTGCAATAGTGTAAGTAATTTCTGTAGAGACATCAGTCTTTATAGGTTTTCTAAGCACAGAGAAATATACTAAACTGAAGTTTGTTTTGTTAAATACGTCTCACCTACTCATATTCTTTAAGAGTTGTTAAATGGATGGTTGCAGTTTTAATTAGCTTATGTGATATATTTTTAAATGGTGTAAATAAAATGGACACATATTTCAGGAAAGTGAAAAATTTCAGTTTCTTCCTTTGTGTCCAGACTCAGAAGCTAAATATATGTCACTATATCTTAGGGCAAGGGTTAGGGAAATCAAACACAATTTGTACTTAAACATGGAGGATGTAAGGTAAGTGGAGACTATTACGAAATGTAACATGTCTGTAAGGAAAGAAACTGAAAAGTTTGGCAGCTATACTAAGTAGTCTTACCAGTTCTTAATTCTGTACAGAATAATGACAAGCCTTTGCTCTTTGTTTGATAGTTGTGTATTATTTAATGATGAATTGGACTAATATAGCCAATTGGACTAATAACTACTTTATTAATACATATATTTATCTTTTACATTCCTTCTCTTCTCCTTTTACTTTTTTAAAAAAATATTTTTATTGATTTCAGCGAGGAGGGGAGAGGGAGAGAGAATTAGAAACATCAGTGATGAGAAAATCATTGATCGGCTGCCTCCTACTAGGGATTGAGCCCACAACCTGGGCATGTGCCCTTGACTGGAATCGAACCTGAGACTCTTCAGTCCCCAGGCCTACGCTCTATCCACTGAGCTAAACCAGCTAAGCCGTCATCTTTTACTTTTGAGAAGCAAATTAATAGCTGAAATACTGTTAAAGCTGTTATGTGAAGAGAAATCAGAGTATGTTGTTTTGTATTAACCTTTGGTTTTCAGCTACCATTTGAAGCTTTTTCTCTTGGCCAGGAAGTCGCCCATACAGCACACTGAGACCAATTGATTACTGATCCTTCAGCATTACTTAACTGAATTTGGTTCCAGTATTTCGCATTCAGAACATTACTATTAGAGATTCAGACACTTTCACAGTTTGCCTGGCGATAGCACACAAAAATATCCAACAAAATAGCAAAGCCCCTTGTTTTAGTCTTCCATCCTAGAATTTGTGATGGCTTTGACTTGGGCACTGTTAAATGCAAGATTTGTTTTTCCCATTTCCCACCAGTGTTAGCAGAAAGTTAGAGAGTGCTCATCCTTAAATTTGTGAATCAAGGGTACCATCCCATGATAGTTCCAGTGTTGTAATTAGTAAGCATTTTTCTTTATTATGGATTTTAAATATTAATGGATATCATTACTGTATCTCCTTTCTTTTTCCTCTCCCTGCTTTCAACCCAAAATGGAAATCGTGTTTTTTTTTAAACAAATTCTTAAGCTACTACTTTGCCTCAACTTTCAACCCAAAATGGAAATTGTTTTTTTAAACAAATTCTTAAGCTACTACTTTGCCTCAAGTAAAGTCCCTGGCTCTGTCTGAACACAGCTGCTCTGAAGTTCTCACAAGTTATTGTTTTGTACATGTCAAGACTGAGTTTTTCCTAGGCTGCAGTAGGAGGGAGTCAATGTTACAGCAGCCTCCTATCCACGTCTGATAAGGAGGAGCCTTCTCCTTGTGAGGAAGTTTTGGGTGGAGCAAATAGCATTGCCATATAAATATCTAATAAAGACAACTCTCTTTGTGGGACTAGTTGGCAGGCTGGAGTATAATTGTCCCTTATTTCTTGATAAACTAAAGTTAAGGTGCAGATGTTTCTTTAAGAAAAACAAATGCAGTATTCATTTAAAAAGAAGCAGCATTAATTTCTTTTGTTGTTGGTTTCTCTGAAAATGGTACTGATTTTAGAGTTCATGAAAAGTTTTCCATTTCTTTAGAAACATGTGAAAGAAAGCAGTTTTAAGTTTCTCATTTTTCAACGGTGCCTTCCTTCCTCTTAACAGACTTATTTTGGGATTAAGTATATTCATGAAATGTGAAAAGGCATCATATTTGGAATCCCTGCAGCATAGTCTTTTACCTTCCGAATGCTATAAGACAAAGATCCCCACTTCACAGATTCCCTGTTCCATTTTGGAACTCTACTTTTAGAACATTCTTTACATTGTGCTGAAGCTCTTTAATTCTGCCATCTCAAGCTACAATAAATAAACCTAATTGTCAGCATGGCAGTCCTTCAAATATTTGATGACAGTTATGTCTTGTTAGGCTTCTGTTACTGGGATAAATATCCCAAGGTCTTTCAGCTATTCCTTAAATGACATTTTTAATCAAGTTCAGGCTCCTCATGAACTTAGTTGCCTAAGTTTTTAGGGCTTCTTGTCTAGGTCTGAATATAACATCTAAGATATCTGATCAGTAAAAGTACAGGGGAGAGTGGCCTCTTTTTAAAATTGAACTCTATACCTCTATTTTTAAAGCCTAAGATCACATTAATTTGTATAATTGATTTTAAAAATATATATATTTTTATTGATTTCAGAGAGGAAGGGAGAGGGAGAAAGAAATAGAAACATCAATGATGAGAGAGAATCATTGATTGGCTGCCTCCTGCATGCTCCCTACTGGGGATTGAGCCAGCAACCTGGGCATATGCTCTGATCTGGAATCAAACCGTGACCTCCTGGTTCATAGGTCGATGCTCAACCACTGAGTCATGCCACCTGGGTGTGTAATTGATTTTTTAAATGTAATTGAAGACTTTACATTGATCCCAGTAACTGTCATCTTGTTAGTTTTGGTTTATTGTTTTAGCTTGATAATGTTATTTAGCCTCTTGGGCATTCCTCATATTTTTGTATCAATAGATAAATGTGATAAACATGACTCCTATGGTATATGTTTTCTTAATTTATTTTTTATTGTTGACAGTATTACAGGTGTCCTAACACCTAAGGTTTTGTTTTAGGGCACTGGTAAAATATATAAGGGTGAAGCAATGCTTTAACATCAGCATACTATCAATAGGTTGATATTAATCCATTAATCAGTCTTTTGGATAAAATTCATTTATGAATCCACCTACTGTTTATCACCTAACCTGTATTTCTTATGAAGTAGTAAGAGTTGTCCTGTTGTAATCTAAATATATTCTATTTCTGGGCATATACCTGAGCTCCTTGGCTAGAGACCCTGTTAAAAAAAGAAAATGAAGTTAGACATGAGTTACTATTTTGCCATCTTATGCTAATGTTTATAGATCACTGCATTACTTGCCAGTTGTTTAAAGCCATCTACTGAATAATTCATTTTATAATATTCTTGGTAAACAATATTTCATCAGTCTATAATTTCTGGACTCTACCTTCCCTGCCCCCTATTTTTTTCAAGTATGTTTTCCCCCAATTTCCAAGACTTCTGGTTCTGCTTCCTTTTTTTGTTTAAATTAATATAGAATAATTAGCAGTGTTTCTTTATAATTGTATGCTTTTTGTCATCAGGTGAAATTCTGTTTTAGAAACTATTTTAGGACAAAATGCTATTCCCTGAACATTTTAAGTTACATATTAAAGAATTAAACTATTGTCCACATAACAGTTGTATTATGGTTTTCCATAATGTTGACATCTCCAATTTAGACCTAACTTTTCATTTTCTGTTTGGAATAAAAACTTGTACCACCTGTAAAAAATACACATATATACACATACATGTAATTGCCATTTATAATTATATAATTTATTGGTGTGGTGGTCTGTATTTGTCACAGTATGTGCTGTAG